TCCTATAAATTATTATAAATAAATATAAGAAAATCAGTATTCATAATTTATAATTCTATATAAACTGATGTTTTAATTGCAAAATGTCATGAAATGATAAAGACATGTTAAACCAGAACACAATATTTTTATTAGGGTATGACAGATTGTGCGGTTCCCAGATTTTAAAAATAAGACTGAAAAAATGGTAAACGAATTACCACAAGAGTTTAGGAGGTACCAACGAAATCGAAACCAATTACAACATATTCTTGAAGAAACTCAACGTGTATTGGAAGTAATTAACTTAGAAAACTTCTTTCCTGGAAGTAAATATTAATAAGTAAATTTCATTTTAGTTAATTTAGGATACCATTGTATCTAAAAATATTCTTTCTTACAGAAAATATTATTGAAGATTTACTACCTCCTTTAACATTGGACAGAATTATACATATTTTATCAAACTCTCCAGCTATCGTAATTCTTGGACAAGATAGTAAAGCAAAGGCAGCATTAGTTAACAGTTTAATATCTACTGATGTTTTGCCAGTATGTAATGGATCATGGAGATGGATCAGACTTAGTTATGGACAAACAAAAAATATCACTCTTACATTAGGTTTAGAATATGAGATGGTACAAAAATTACAAGTAAATGAAAAACCTTGGATTACTCTTCCAATTGAAGATATAACAGAGTCTGCTAATGAAGACATAACTTGTCCAACAGTGCTTGAAGTTAAGCTTGATCAACTTATATTAAAAAATGGTGTACAAATATTTATTGCTCCAAATAATGGAGCAGTAAAAACTCTTGCAAAAGGATTATTATCTATTTTACCAATATTTTTATATGCACTGGGTGATCAGCCCTTAACAGAGCAAAATTTGGAAGAATTACAAGATTTAAAAGAAACATATCCCATGAACCCTGTACTTTTTATATCATCTTTGGGAAATATCTCATTGACTAATATTGATGCTGAATTGACTGAATCAGAACAACATAGACTTCAAAATCGACTAAACTCTAACGATTGCACATCAAATAAAACTGATAATGATGGCCTTGACTTTGACCAAATGAATTCACTTGGTTTAACATGGTTGGATCAACTGACAAATTTAGGATTTCTTGGAATGGAAGAATCTGTTGAAGTTGATCAACTATCTTGGTTGGGTGGTGGACAATGTATTAGTTCTAGTGACCTAATAGATTCATGTAAAAAAACAGATCGAATTTTATATTTCGTTCATGAATGTTTACAAACTTACCTCATCAATGCCAGCACCTATTTAAACGAAGTACATTCAAGTAGTTTGCGAAAATTTATTTTAAGTGCATTTGATATGGCACGTAAAATTCAAATAACTCCAAAAAGGATACAGTATGCTCAGCAAAAGGAAAACGAATTATATGCCAGTTTAATGAAAATTGTTAATGAAAATCAAGAAGAACTGACTGAATTAATACAAACTATCATTCAAGATATGAAAAATGCCGTGTTATCGTCTAATAATGATATGCGTTCACATCGAAATATCTATTTCAATGGTACCGAGAGGGCAGAATGGTCCGCAACCGTTAGAGCTGCAACATCTGAAATTCAGAGACTGGTGCTTGGTCGTTTAAGTGAAAAAGTTGTAAAGGAACTTGTAAATTCTGTCAATTGCTTGCGTGAAACTTTTGTTGGTACATTGCAACGTTGTTTATTAAGTCTTGAAGAAGCATACGAACGCGATAACTGTTTACTCGCTAGTGATGCTTTAAAAGAAATCCTTTCAGCTGCATATAATGTTAAATTGCATCATTCGTCGCCATCTGTAGTACATTCTTTTTTAGAAAGATTGAGACAACTTTTTAAGTCTTTGCCTCTGCCATGGACACCAACTCCAATTTTAGATGTAAATTGGAGTAGAAAAGTTACTATTGAAATACTGAATTCTTTATCAGCAGCAAGATTGGCCAGAACAATATCAATGCAATTCAGAGACAAACTTAAATCTTCACATGATTCATTTCAAGCAGCTATCAGATCTTTGGACAATTATTATTCTGGAAATTTGGAAAGAACAGAAGAACAAAGAATAGCTATTAGAAAATATCACGCACCTAGATTAGCTAAATTAGCATTAGAATCAACATCAATGCTAGACGCTATTCGGTATGGTATTCCTCATTGCGGTAAAGAAATTGGTCGCGGTCAGTATGGAGTTGTATTTGCTTGTGATGGCTGGGGTGGTTCATCAGGTCCTTGTGCAATTAAATCAGTTGTTCCACCAGATGAAAGGCACTGGAATGATTTGGCCATGGAATTCTACTACACTAGATCTATTCCTGATCATAAAAGGATAGTGAAACTCAGAGGATCAGTCATTGATCAGTCCTATGGTGAAGGTTTTTGTTTTGGATCTGCAGTTCTCTTAATAACAGATCGTTTGAGTCGTGATTTATATTGTGGAATTCGTGTTGGCTTATCTTGGCCAGAACGTATACAAATAGCAATCGATGTTTTGGAAGGAATACGTTATCTTCATTCTCAAGGACTTGTACATCGAGATATTAAGTTGAAGAATGTTCTTCTCGATACCGAAAATAGAGCCAAACTAACTGATCTCGGGTTTTGTATCACAGAAGCTATGATGTCAGGAAGTATTGTTGGAACACCCGTTCATATGGCACCCGAGCTTCTTTCTGGTCATTACGATAGTAGCGTCGATGTATATGCATTTGGAATTTTATTTTGGTATATATGTGCAGGCCATGTTAGATTACCATATGCTTTTGAGCAATTTCATAATAAAGAACAGTTATGGACCAGTGTAAAGAAAGGTAATTATTGAAAAAGTTTTTATATTTTTAATCTTTTTATACCATTTTTTAAGTATTGCTTTAATTATTACTAGGTATACGTCCAGAACGACTACCTTCTTTTGACGAGGAATGTTGGAAATTAATGGAACAATGCTGGTCTGGAGAACCATCTAAACGACCCTTACTTGGAGTTATTCTACCAGTGTTAGAATCTGTTCAACGAAAGGCAGAAAGAGGCAAGTCCTTACAACAGCTCTCCACGCAAAAGTTACAGGAAAGTTCGTCATTAGATTCAAAAAATCCTGCATTAGCATTAGCAGAACCTCATAATCAAAGGGGTGCTGTAATTAGCCCATTTCCAGCAAAACGTAGGGCATTAAGAACTGTAAAACATCCTGTTTTTCACATGACCAATTTATTTCAAACAAGTCTATGTTCTAATTTGTATATTCAAATGCGAGAATTCTAAAAGCATTTTGTACTTTTTACTTTGTATTCAAAATTTTTAAACAACGATCTGGCTATATTGAATCTCAAGTTAAAACATTTTTATAAAACTAATCATCGCTTTTTACTGCACGTATTTAACCCTTTTTCGATAGTATTTAAAATGCAGTATTAATTTGACGAGCTTTTTATTAGTGTTCAATTTAAAACAAAATTTTTTATTGTATATTTATCTCTTTAGTGAAAATAATAACAAACTAGTTGAATTATGTAAATATAATGTATAATTAAGTAATTGTGATCACTATTTAAATTTCTTTTTATATTAAAAACATAAGGAACTGTGGTACTTAGTTAATTACACATGTAATTGGTCTGATGTACACTAATGATACAGAACTTTCAAAGGACAAAATGAAGAAGTTTTGGACGTTATACTTATTACATATGTGGATTGATACCTGATAATTAGAAAAAGTTTGTTTATACGAAGAAAAAAAGAATAAGATTGTATATCATTGTTGAAAAATAAATAAAGTTTCCCATTTTTTTATTTACCATTTTAATGTTATCATAACTTTCTTTCAAGTATCTAATTCTTAAGGTCTTGGATCTTCTAATAATTATGTAAATGCCGAATTCTATGTATTATTTACAAAAGTTTATATTATTTTCAGATGAGAGATTTTTCAAAACAGAACCTACATGAACCTTTGGATGGAATTTAAAAATGTGATAATGTTGAGATATTTTTATGACTTGACAAGAAATATTGTAACATAGATTCTAAATTACCGTAATATTATAATTAGGTAATTCTGTGGAAACATGTAAATATATGGAGATAATATACAAACATATGTAACAAATATTTTTTTGAAGGATTAACCAACTTTTAACGTACTATTTAAAACAGTGCTCAAACTAGTAAATCAAGATTACATTTTGCTTTTTCTAGATCATGTAAAAATTGATAAAATTCACTTATTGTCATCTCCACAAAAACATTTTTAGTTTTTCCACATTCTTCCAAATTTAATTTAAGTTGCACAAACGATTTTCCCACATTGTTGGATTCACTACTTGCTGCAGTTACTATAAAAATAATACACCTTATTAGGATTTGAAGTTTTTAAACGAACTATTTTATTTAATGCTATATTATTTTATAAAAAGACACTGTACTGTTGTACATTTAAAGAACCAATCTGTTTTATATCAACGAAACAAGATTTTTTCTATCGAAGATAACCTTATTTACAGACAAGAAATATTACTCATATTTTTATTACGTAGAAAATAATACCGAAGAAGGATTTTACATTTTACAATGTATTAGTTATTTCACAAACAAAAAAAATATGCACTTTGGAATTGTTTTATTTGAAACAGTTAAATTTTTAAAAACAATTTATTTCGATGATTGAGGTTAAGACTCTTACCACCGAATCTCCACGAAACGTCAACTATTTTTGTGATATTTTGAACCATCTTATATGCGTAATTGTTTTTCTTTATTCGTATTTTAATTATTTATGTGTAACGTATTATTAAATGACAGATATTATATCGTTGAATATTACAGCGATCTCTGCAGTTGAAAGAATGCAACAAGTACAGTTTATGACGGCGCGAATACGTGAACTCGCTTGTGTTACGTTTAATGTATTATAAATAAAATGATATTACAAGTGTATTTAGCGTACAATCAAATTAATTGTCACATTAAATTTTCGTTATTTTGTTATACGTTATGTTTAACATAAATAAAATTCGTGCAGAATACGTGTAGAATATTATTGCGCAGTGAAGTGTCGTACAAGTGCATTCAGAACGTTTTAATCTGCTTCCTATATAAATGTTATTCGAACGAGGTTTATCTCACATTTTCACGCTCTGAAGACTCTGATTGTTTCTATAGTTTTATAACTGAAGGAATTGGGTTAATTACACGTATTCAATCACGTCGTGATTTATCGCTCTAACTTTGACCCATACGAAATGATTGCGTTGCTCACGTATCAGAGGGAACGATGAAATATTTCAAATCCTTATCTACGTCGAACGTGTCTAGATGGTTGGTTTCGTGAAAAAAAAAAAAAGGATTGTCGCAGTTACGGCGTGTTTACCAATGACCCAGCAGGTAACCTAGCTTTACTAAATCTTACGAACGTCGTGCACGTTTGTTCGGAAACAAAAACATCCGGAATCAAAGAACACCAGTACACCAGTTCAATGAGAACGTTGAAGAAATATAAATAAAACTAACAGTAATTTACAGGAAAATTTACAGTGGCCAGAGTTTATTCGTTTCACATATGAAACTATAATACGACAGGAAATGATGTTAAATCTTATTTCAACAAGAATATCAAATATAGGTTAGATTCTTCGTATAATACACGCAAATGCAAACTTGACGACGAGTATCAAGTTCGAGAGAGAGAGAATTTTCTCTTTTTTCCCTCTGTTTTTATACATGTGTTCCATTAAAAACGGTAATGAGACTTCTGTGTAGTTTTTCTTTCATCATCGCACCGGAAAAAGCTTCAGCCTAGATTTGCTCTTATTACAATTCTCGAGCATGAGGTTGAAAACACGACCGGGTATTATCAGCTATTGATTGATGCCCGTTAATTGGACTTTTAATTACGTAAGTTTTTGCTTCTCGATGCAATACAGATTATCCGACTGATTGTTCGTCTCTAGATAAAAATAGAAGAAAGAGAAAGAGGAAGAAAATTTCTCTCCTTTTTCTGCACAGTTAGGCGAAAGATTTGTTAGATCTCCCGGAAGTAATAACCGATAACAAATGGAGAAGCCCGCGAAGTGTCGCAGTACTTAATTTAATTCCTGAGGTACCGCGCTCGGTCCAGCAACCGAGCGTCACTGGATTTTTCTAAAGTACAGGTATTTCTTTTAGCTGGATTCGCGCGAGAACGCGTGCGAACATAACAAATATAAATGTCCCTTACCGTATACACCCGGCAAACCGAAAATAATATCCTCAGACATAACCACTTTGGACGATATACGTTATCCTGGACGTTCTTATATGATAAAAAATGATAAGTATACGTCACGGTTTTCAGGGTGAGGAATGGACCACGATTAGAACTTACGAAGTAGAGGAGTGAGAGAGAGAGAGAGAGAGAGAGAATGTCTCGAAAGTTGCGTTTTCCATGTCGATTAAGGGCGAGAAAAGGGTATCGTGTGCCCCGTTTCCCCGTCTGAATTTATATGCAAATTTTCTCTATACACCGCCATTGTTTTCCACGACATTCATAAATAAGAGACGGCGGAATAACGGATGAATCTCTTAAGCGAAAGCAACGACGGGTTTACTTTCACGCAAACGGCACGTTCACATCGGTGAACTTTCGGAATACGCCATATTTGTTGCTTCTCCAAGCTTGTTAGAATTTCTAATTAAACCACACGCCGAAATGATAAATCTGTCTTAAGCTACACCCCGGCTTTAGGTCACTTGGTAATAAGTTCGGTGAAGTTTCTTCGTGCGTACTTGCACCGAGGCACCGGAGATTACGATCAAGTTATCATAATTACCAGACCTAACACGTTACTTTAGTTCGTTCGCTCCGTTACAAATCGAAAATCTCAGTTTCAACTACTTCGTCGCTTATTGATTTTCACGGTATTTTTCATTTTCTCTGCCCTCTCACCTAGCAGATGTAAAATAGAAAAAGAGCGAAATTCCTCGATTACGCCTCGATGTGGGAATACACGTAACCGAGAATGGGGTAGACTTATATCGTAGACGGTATTCGAGAAACTTCATTTGCATTCCACTTCGGATACACACCGATAATTAAAACGTTCAGACGTAAGATTACGTTTCTGTCCTTTGTTTCGTATATACAACGATGCTTTGGATAATTGGGTCATCTTGAAAGTTTCCAAGGATCCTAAATCGTTTACTCGGGAAAAACACATAATTTAGAATTTTTTTCTTCGGTGAATTTTTCTTCGAGAGAACTGGAGGATTTCTGCTATTTTTCATTTTATGATTCGTATTTGCATGATTAGTATCGCGTTGTTTAACCCTTTGAAATATTCATTTTGTTATCTACCGTGTTTAGAAAATTATTTGACAATTTTACAGCCGAATATCAGCGGAAATATATCTCCCCGAGGCGTACTGTTCGAAACTTAATATCATCAAGCTATTTCACCAAGATTGATCCTTCATGTTTTTCATATTAATCGAGCTACGTTTGCTGTTTCGTCTGACAGAGGGTAAACGTTTGACGGAAGTGAATGGGAGTTAGGCGATTCGGCAGAGGGGTGGCAATGGTCATAAAAATCGAGAAGGGGAACAAGACGTTAGAACGCGGCCGAGGCGTGTGCCAGTTCAAGGAGAAAATTCGCATAAGCGGCGCCGCGCCGTTTTAAAAAGCATCCCTTTAGGTACCTATCCTCGGGCTTTCCTCCCTTCTTGCCTGACTATCGCTTGACTTTTTGCACGCTGCCTTAGCATCTTGCAGCTCGCTCTTGCTCCACGATTACTCGACAAATATAGGGGTTGCTTTGAATATGGAGTGCTTTTTATTACTCCGACCATGACAGAAAGGAAATTACAGTACTAATAAATAGTACGTCACAATGGATCGCGATGCTATTTTCTTCCAGTTTTCTCCTTTAAACGCGGTTAAACTTCCGGATCCAAAGAGAAAATTATCCATTTAATAATCTTAAAAGTATTAAGTCTGTGCGGATAACGAAAAGAATTGCCAATTATTCAGGAAAATTTCAATAAAATCCTATGGAAGTTAATTTGATCGAAAGAAATTTTCATTTGGATAAACGAAAGTTGGTGTAATACGCACAAGTAGACACAATTCTGCAAACGGTTGTTTGTCGCGAAATGACGATCGATCGGTTGATATATATCACAGGGGTAGTTTTTCCTGTGTCCCGCAAAATGGCATGTAATAAAGCATGCCGCGTACAGTTTCGTAAATTATCGTCGAATTAATGCGGCCTGTGTATGCAGTTTTACACCCCCACCAGGCTTAATAAAATTCAACCGGCAGCAGGCTGGACCACGTGCAGCCTCTTGCACGTACACACGCGAACGGTACACACAGTTTTCGTGTTATCTCGCCTGCTGTCGTGCGATATACAGCGGTGTTGGTGACGATTCCTGCAACTGGGTGGGGCGGCGTGGGGGCGCCTGCGTCAGATGAGATATCCAGGAGCGTGTCTCCTGGGTTATCCTTAAAATATCCAGGCTATCCTATTACCACGAAATTCGAATCGCGCTGGCTTATCATTAATCACGGTCACCCCTTCGGGTCTGCGACTCGAGTCGCTGGGACACAGAATCGCTCGTGTCCTCTTCTATCGACTACTATAGAGACACCACCGCCAACCCCCTTTGGTACGGTGTTACACGTTTTTAGAGCACTGGCTGCGTGCTCGTCATGCTTGACTTTAACCCCTACCACATTTCCTGTTTTCCTCTAACCTTTCGTTCTTTTGCTCGCGAGAACCCTCTATTTCGACTTTTCAGTAGTACACGCTCGCGTCGGACCTTCTCTGTCTCTCCCTCGCTCTCCCTCTCTCTGTTCAGAGGAAACTGCGATTCATGGTGGACCAGTGAAAGAGAGCGAAGCGATAAATCTACGAGCGATGAACGAAGTGCTCGGTTGGCTTGCCCTCGCGCGCTTTCTCGATCGACTTTTCTTTCAAAGGCGGCCGGAAAGGGATAGGCCAAAGAGGTAAAGAGCGAGAAAGGGAGAGAAAAAGAGAACGTGAGAAGGAAAGGCAAGCCTAAGGGAAAAATAAAGGTGAAGGAGAGAGGGAAACCGAGGAAGGTTTTGGATGCTCGTGTACGACGTGAAACACGGCCCAGTAATTTGGAGAAAATTTAAAGCGCTCTGTCGAGGTAATTGCATAGGCGTCTATATGCCGGCGTGTACGCCGCCTCTTCTGCCTCTACTTCGTCCTCTCTTCTTTTTTTTTTCCTTCGTCCCTGTTCTTCTACTTTTTCCACCAAGGGGTTTGTTTTTCATCGGGAGGCGAGAAGACTGAAAGGGTTTTTTCTAATTAAATGACACGCTCGCGCGTTTCCCGCCACAGGACCGAAGAATGTATCAAACGTGAACGAGCCGCGCCGGTGTGAAATTTCCTCGAGTTTCCGAGGACTTTCGACGACGAATGGAAGAAGATGAGACGCATCCACGGGTACAAATACGAGACGATTCACTTCCGGACACTGTTACTCGACTACACTCTCCACGCTGTTACCCAGAACTTATTACCATCGAGATCCGCGGCTACTTATCGTACCAGACGTATCATCCCCGTGGCTTGGTGTCACCGGTGAGAAAGAACGAACGAAGAAACCCCGGGTCTCATAGAAACTAGAAAGAACGAGGGGGATAAATCTTCCAGCAAGGCTGGATAAATCGTTGCTTGTCCACGCAGATAGACCGATTCTTAATACACGTAAGATCCGAGCTTTTCATTTTCAAAGAAACCCGCGCTTCTCTGCGCCTCCTTACAAACCCAGAACAGCGAACTTATCCAA